CATTCATATAGAACCTCTTCTAGCATATGCTTTATTTTTATTTTGAGCATTCTTCTGCATATATTTTATAATCTTGTCACCTTAAATTGAAAGTTTCCTGAGATTGGTAACTGTGCTTTATCCCACATATTTCATTGCAATAAATATGAGGGTAATTCAAAAAGTTCATGGAGAAATGGAATTAAAGGATAATGCAAATCTTTTCATGAGCTTTTGGGGTACCCCTCATATATATGGGTTGATTTAATTTAAATTGCTTTCTGCCATTAAGATGATTACATGGTTATGATCATACACAGATATCCATTTGTGACTTAGGAAATTAACAGAAAATAACCATGGATCCAATAGATCTAGATAACTTTAATTTTTTGACTATTGCTAAACAGCTTTGTGAAAGTTTTGATGCCAAGGCAGTACTGCTAACTTCAGTTGAGGATCAAGGCCCACACTGTCAGATGTTGTGCTGTAAAGGCAGTTCATGTTTTAGGCACAGATCACTTTAAGCAAGTGTTTGTTTTCACAGGATAATTTGGGAGTTATTTTTTGTATTGTTTATGAATTTCGTGAGATACAAAGCTGATAGGCACCAGCCATGCCCAAGATGTGATGGCCAGATCCATACTGGAAGCATGCCCATTACCACAAATTGCGATTTGAATGAGGACTACCATGAATTCTGCTTCACAAGCAAGGCTTCGGGTTCATCATCACGGTGGTCTTTCTGGTTGACATAATAGAGTCTGCTGAAATTTTGTAACTTAGTCCTGCATCATACTAATGATGACCTAAACTTCCCTTAAATTATTGTTGGGCCAAAATGCTAACAGAATTTCACTGACAAGATGTCATTCTGAATCTATTAAAATGCTATATTATCCTGGGAATCTGTTGTTAGTTGGGTTTTCTCTCCTTAGAGTTATTTCCCTGCCATGTTACCAATCCTTCATGTTTGTGAGTAAAAACTACAGATGGTAAAGAAATTTCTGAATTTAGAAGGAAAAAGACACAGCAGTATTAAATCCCTCTTGAATTAAATGGAATGAATTCTCATATTTTTATTCTTTAGTAAGGTAAATGTGCATCTTTTTGATATGTTCAGGGATATTGAGGGATAAATTGTCAATTTTTATTATT